TTAGCAGTGCCCCTCCGCCCCATGGGCGGCTGCAGCCCGACCACGGAGAGGTCAAGTCTTTGATCTCTCCTGCTGTTGCTAAGCACGTGCGTTTCAAGTTTGCGAATATAACTCAGTGGTCGAAGCTCACTCAGGACTTTCTGGCAGCTAAGGTTTCTGAGGTTGATGGAATATTCATGGCTGAACACCATGTCAGAGGGCCAGAATGTTTTCGGGCCAAGAAGGATTGCCGCCACATGAAGTGGTCACCCTACTTTCAGGATGCTCTTGACTCGCCTGGAGGGGGAACTCACGGAGGGGTTGCTGCTGTCGTCCAGCCACGTCTCTGCTTTCGCAAGTTTCTTGTCCAAGCGCGAGGGGCTAAGCAGGTGGGTGCAGGAGAATGTTGGTTCTTTCTCGAATTGCGTCTGAAGGCGTGTACGGTAGCTGTTGGAGTCATCTACCTTGTGCCATCCATTGGCGTTTCTGGAGTGAACTCTTGTCGCCTGCGTGCGGTTGCTGAAATCGTTCGGGGTCTGGCTATCCCATGGTTCCTGATGGGCGATTTTAACAGGTCGGTTGATTTCCTGGAAGATGCTGGAGTCTTGGAACTGATGTCCGCTCGAACCCTGGCCCCTGGCAATGTTGAGTTTACCTGTTCGGTTGGGGAAACGATGATTGATTACGTCGTGTGCTCTCCCCTGTTGTTCCCTTACCTCAAAGTGTCTGCCGACCTCCTGTCCCCATTCAAGACGCACGCGTGCTTGGACGTGATCTTGGACCTCGAAGCCATGGTGGAGCCCCAGTGTATTCGCGTGAAGCCCCTGGAGGTTCCTGAGGCCCTGGGCCCCGATAGTCACTGGCTCACCTATATGTCGGCGGCTCAAAGCCTTGGGGGCCCTGGCAAAAGCATCCTGGAGGCTCCCTTGGTCATGCCTGAGGACCTTTCTGAGGCTATGTCTGAGCACTCGAAGGAGTTCTTGTCTAGGAGTATTGGGATGCAGTATCTTATTTGGTCTCGTGCTATGGAGTTGCGAGCTCTTTCACGCGCGTGCGCTCTTGTTTCTGATCCACGCAGATATCTTGGTCGTGGTTCCATGCTGAAGCGAAAGGACTGTTCTCTGATGACTCGCGGTGCGCAGGCGCAGAGTTTTCGGAATCCTGACTTGTCCTTTTGGTCTCTCGGTTCGAGCCGGCTGTATGGGTCATGGCGGCTCACATGCAAGTCACCTTTCTCTGATGCTGCCCGCCAGCGTCGCACTGTTCTCTCTGCCTTGGCGGCCGACGTCTTTGCTCACATCGAGCCCCTCGTCAGCCCAGACGACGCTGAGAGTTGGAAGGAGATGCTTGAGAACCCCCCACGATCGGAAGGTACGTTGCGAAACCTCGTCGACGCTGCAGGTGATGTTTGTGCTAAATCATGGTCCCTAGCTCATGCCAAGACTAGGAGTAGCATGAAAACCTGGTTGACGTCGTCGTTACCTCGGGGAGCTAGTCCTGTTCATCGTTACCTGAAAGCTGAAGAGAAGGTTTGGGTTGAATACTTGGAGACTCCTGGAGGCATCGTGAACACCCCAAAGGATATGATGAGATATCGTGAAGATATGTGGTCGTCTTGGTGGACTCCTTCCGCACAGCAGCTGTCTTGTTTGAATGCGGGCATGAGCGAGCTTAGGTCACAAGCTTTAGTCGCTCTGGAAGATACCCCCCTGCTCGAAGTTTCTGATGTTGCTCGTGCGTGTACTTGCTTCAGGGCGAAGACCGCTCTCGGTGTTGATATGTGGTCGCCTCGTGCTCTTTTGGACGCTCCAGTGGATTCTCTCGAAGTGTCCACTGGCATCCTGCGTTCTGTGGAAGAGAATTTGCGCTTCCCCCCTCAGTGCTATGTCTGTCTCATGGCGATGCTGCCGAAGTTTATCTGCGATGAGCGGGCAATCGCGAAGTGCCCCAGCATCAACAGGATCTTTTGTCAGGCCAGAGGCTTTGACATCGATGATTGGAGCAGGGCCCACATTGACTTCTGGGACTCTGCGGTCAAGGGCTCATCGGCCTTGAAGGCTGCCCTCTTTCGTGAGTTGGCCCATGAAGTGGCCCGTACCTGTGGGTCCCACTCCTGTGCCCTCCACTGGGACCTCGAGAAGTTCTTTGACTCCGTGAGCCCCAGCAAGCTCCTGCACTTGGCGGTGAATCAAGATTACCCCGCCCACCTGTTGTACATGGGGCTCCTCATTCACACGTCTCCGAGGATTTTGGAAGTGTCTGGGAGTCTTTCGAAGGTGTTGCCTCTGGTGAGTCCATCTTGGCGGGTTGTTGTCAGAGTCTGCCCTGGGTCCAGTGCTACCTGTACGGGGTCCTGGAGAAGGCTCATCATAGGATCCCTAGAGGACCTGGAGACCACCCACACGTTCGTGTCCCAATTAGGTCGTATGCTGACGACATCACACAGTACCTGCAAGGCTCTGTCGCTTTCATCTGCCGCTACCTGCCCCAGGCCGCTGCCGATTTTCAGCATGATATCTCTGAGCTGGGGTGTGTCGTCAGCTCTAAGTCGCTTGCAGTCGCCTCGTCCGTGGAGCTGCAGCGGCTCCTGCAGGACGAGTTCAGGAGATATGAAGTCTCCATTTCTTTTGCTGATGGAGTGAAGGATCTCGGATCTGTCACTACTGCCAATAAAAGACGATCCACCTGGAAGGTCCAGCAGAGACGCTCGCTCGCTTTCCGTCGTGCCAGGAAGTTGAGTTACCTGGCCAAGCTTTGTGGGGCTTCTCGTAAGGATTTCAAGCCAGGCATTTTGGCTGTGGGTACCTGGGGCCATGCTCCCCTTGGGCGTCCTGCGGGTGCTACTGGGCAGTTCAGATCCTCGGCTGCAGCGTGCTCTGGATTTTGGTCGTCTGGGGCTTGTGTTAGCACTGTGTTGCGAGTGTTGCATGCTACTAAAGATGATCATGTTTATCGGATCCGTGTTGAACAACTTACCTTGATTTCGGAAGTTTGGGTTTCTCTTCCTGGAGGTCTTCGGTCTGGAGTTCGGAGAGTCTGGGAGGCCCTGCACGACACGATCGGTAAGTCGCAGGAGTCGAGTCGGTGGCGTCTCGTTCGAGGTCCCACTGCAGCCCTGTATGCTACTGTTCTGGATCTAGGATGGGAACCACGACGTGTTGATGAGTGGCGTGCAAGTGTTGGTGTCACTCTTAGGTTGACTGATGCAGATTTCAGATATCATCTTACCTCGGCTGTCCGTGAGTCTTGCTCGTCCATTGTCTGGGCCAAGGCCGCTCAGCACTTCCGCGGGCAAGGCCTAGAGACAGGTGCTGACCTTACTGTGCTTCGTGCCAAGCACAAGAAGTTGCTCGACGACGGCGACTTTAAGGGCGCCGCCCTTTTGATTACGATTGCTGTCGGAGGTGCTTGGCCCGAGTCGCGTCTGCAGGACTGTGGATATTTGACCTCAGGCCGTTGTTTCCGATGTGGTGACGCGCGGGAAACACCTCTGCGCCGTTGTTGGGGATGTCCGAGTAACCAGTACTTGACGGATCCGAGTATTGAGAATAGTGAACATTTGGTTCATGATGCCCTTGCTGCTGACATCCATAGTGCTTTCTTTACTCGTGGGGTACCCTGCCTTGATGCATCTTGTGGTCACCTACCTCCACCCTCTGCTTGTACCTGGACATGGGGCACCCTGAGGGCTCAGCGTCGGGTTCCTGGAGGTGCATGGGGCCTTGATGGCTCTGGAGGGGTTCACGCCAGAGATAAGAGGTTGAGGCGATGCGGTTGGGCTATAGTCAGTCTTGGGGTTCCAGATGGTCTCTCGTTGCAGCTGTATACCATTATGTGCGGTGGTCTTCCTACCTTGGAGCAGTCTAGTCCCCGAGCTGAACTTTATGCATTTATCATGGTTCTGAGTCATATTGTGGGTGATATATTGTGCTACTCTGATTACTTGCCCTTGGTGAGAGGGCTAAGGCAGCCACGAGCTCAGATCGTGGCTAGCAGCTCGATGCTCGATATTTGGGTTCGGATCTGGTCGGCCTTAGACGATCGAGGTCCTGGTTCAGTCGACGTTCTGTGGACCAAGAGCCACTCGACGACCCACCAGAGGGCCCAATTCGCCACTGGGGAGGAGGAGTTTTTCCTTAATTGGTGTGCTGATTTCTTTGCGGGGTGGGCCACTGAACGTGTGGCCCCCTCCCCCGAGCAAGTTGATGTGACGGCGTTTGTTGATCGTGTCACGTCTCACACGCTTGACCGCCTTCTGGCGGTGCATCTGGAGGTTGTGGAGCAGAACCCCCGCCGTGTTTCTGATCGGCTCGGCCGTCCTCCCCCTCGGCCCCCTCCTATCCCTGCCTTCCAGGTCCGCCTTAGGAGAATGAGGAGTGCGGGTCATGAGCCGACCTTGAAGGGTACGGCTCTCCGCTGCCAGATCTGTCAGCGTCGATTCAGATTGAAGGGCCGCGTCCAGGACTTTTGTCCTGGTCCCTGTCTCGGACCCGCTCACCTTTCCTCTGATCCGCTCGCGCACCCCTTGTATCCTTCGTGCGCGTCGGCAATCATAGGTTGAATGTGCTCCGCGGTGTGCTGTATTGCGAGCGTTGTGGTGCCCATGCTAGTGGGCGCAATGTGCAAAGCCTGGCCAAACCCTGTAAGACTGATCGTCCCCCCACGAAGGCTGGGAGGGAGGTCCTGTCCAGGTTGGCTCGTGGTCTTCCCCCCAAGAGTGGCGGCAAGTTCCCCATGCTTGAATGTGCTGTCGTGCCCAGGCTTGACCTGGTCTCCACGGGTTTGCATCATCATCACCCTCCTCCTCCCCCTCCTCCTCCTCCCCCTCCTCCCCCTCCTCCTCCTCCTCCTCCTCCTCCTCCTCCTCCTCCTCCTCCTTGTCTTCCTGTCCCCACGCCCGCGCGGGAGCGTGCGGCGGGGAAAAGGGGTGCGGAGGAGACGGAGGACGGCAGTGAGTGCGGACTTTCGAACACACACCCGCTTCTTGCGTCATGCACGGGCGAGGGCCTGCGCAAGGGGAGGACTCTCGGACAGTCCGTCGTCCGAGTCGAGCAGCAAGCTCTTCAGGCAGGTCAGCATGACGATGCGGTCCTTCCTGTGGAGCAAGGGCCACAGGAACCTCCTTATACGAGGGATCACCTCCTTCTGCCAAGCTTCGGCCACGTGTGTGCTGGTGGCGGAAGGGATCGATTTGCCTCACAAGCCGTTCCTGGCGGTGTTCCAGCTGATCGCCTCCGCGAGCCTGGTGTGCCAGTGGCGCACGGCCGACCCCCGGATGTTTGTGCTCCGTGGCTGCGCCAGCTGGGCGACGGCCCTCCTAGCCTCAAGGCTGGCGCCTAAGCCCTGGCCGCGCCCGTCGTCCCCGCTCTCGCCCTCAGCAGGGGGGGGGATGACTGGGGCGACCGGCTGTTACTGTGGCCCGTTGGGTGTTAGTGTGGCCCGTGGGGTGTTAGTGTGGCCCGTCGCGCGGCTGAATCCGAATGGGGGTTACTGTGGCCCGCGCTGGCCGTTCAATGAAAAGTCATATGTAAAGGTATCTCATGTTGGAATTGGAGAGATTCGCAACCATTAATGGAATGCCTTGCCGCGCAGGCAAAAGTGGCCACAGTAACTCCCACTTGGAGCCAGGTAGTAGTAATAGTAGTAGAAGTAGAATTAGAAAAATAAGTAGAAGTAGAAGTAGAAGTAGAAGTAGAAGTAGTAGTAGTAGGAGCAGCAGCAGTAGCAGTAGCAGTAGCAGTAGCAGTAGCAGTAGCAGTAGCAGTAGCAGTAGCAGTAGCAGTAGCAGTAGCAGTAGCAGTAGCAGTAGCAGTAGCAGTAGCAGTAGCAGTAGCAGTAGCAGTAGCAGTAGCAGTAGCAGTAGCAGTAGCAGTAGCAGTAGCAGTAGCAGTAGCAGTAGCAGTAGCAGTAGCAGTAGCAGTAGCAGTAGCAGTAGCAGTAGCAGTAGCAGTAGCAGTAGCAGTAGCAGTAGCAGTAGCAGTAGCAGTAGTAGTAGTAGTAGTAGTAGTAGTAGTAGTAGTAGTAGTAGTAGTAGTAGTAGTAGTAAGTAGTAGTAGTAGTAGTAGTAGTAGTAGTAGTAGTAGTAGTAGTAGTAGTAGTAGTAGTAGTAGTAGTAGTAGTAGTCGTAGTCGTAGTAGTCGTAGTAGTCGTAGTCGTAGTCGTAGTAGTAGTAGTAGTAGTAGTAGTAGTAGTAGTAGTAGTAGTAGTAGTAGTAGTAGTAGTAAGTAGTAAGTAGTAGTAGTAGTAGTAGTAGTAGTAGTAGTAGTAGTAGTAGTAGTAGTAGTAGTAGTAGTAGTAGTAGTAGTAGTAGTATAGTAGTAGCGTAGTAGTCGTAGGCGTAGTCGTAGTCGTAGTCGTAGTCGTAGTCGTAGTAGTAGTAGTAGTAGTAGTAGTAGTAGTAGTAGTAGTAGTAGTAGTAGTAGTAGTAGTAGTAGTAGTAGTAGTAGTAGTAGTAGTAGTAGTAGTAGTAGTAGTAGTAGTAGTAGTAGTCGAAACCAATTGCCCTAGCCAGCCCAACCAGCCAACCCAACCAACCAGCCACCCAAACAACTCAACCGGCTCAACCAGCCCAACCAGCCACCCCGCAACCCCAGCCAACCCGCCACCCCGCCAACCCGCCCAACCCCGCCGCCTGCCCTCCGTCACCGTCGAGAGGGGGGGGGAAGTGTTTCTTACAAGCGAAAACCACAAAAATCACCCTCCCGGGGTCTGGCGGGACAGCGGGGGGAGGGGAAATCGCGCCGTACTATGCGGGAGCGGGATTCGCGCCCGAGGTGCCCAAAGACGATTTGGGGCCTCAAATGCGACATTGTCGTCACTTTATTACCTTTCACCGCGCTCCCCTTCTCAACGGAAAGACTCCCATCCATGAAACTGTCGTCATTTTTCAGCCCCCGCGAGAGGCTTCTTAGAGGCCCCCAGGGGCTCCAGGAGGGCCCATGGCGGCCTCGGGAGTGCCTAGGAGACCTCCGGAGGGCCCCAGGAGGACCCACTCTCCACCGCGCCCCCCTTCTCAACGGAAAGGCCTCCATGCGTGAAATTGTTTTCGTCATTCCGCCACCGCGAGAGAGTTCTTAGAGGGCCCACGGAGGCTCCAGGAGGTCCCATGGCGGCCCTGGGAGAGCCCAAGAGATCTCAAGAGCCCCCCCGAGGACCCACTTCGAATTACACTCAGGGAGTTCCAGAAGGCCCAGGAAGCTCCAAGAGGCCCCAAGAGGCCCCGAAGAACCCAAACAGGCCACAGGACCCCCAGCACGCTCTAGGAGAGCCACGGCAACACCAAGAGGCTCCAGGACGGGCGTCATTCCCTCTCCTCCTCCTGCTCGTCGTCATCATCCTTCTCCTCAACCGTCCTGCTTCAAATCCTTCCTCCCCCTCTTCCTCCTCCTTCTCCTCCTCTTTCTCCTCCTCCTCCTCCGCCTCCTCCTCTTCCTCCTCCTCCTCCTCCTACCTCATCCGTAGCCTTGATGGCTCCGATAGCGCCGTGCGCGAGATCCGCCTCCTCCCCATCCGTCCTCCTCCCTCCTCCCTCCTCCTTCCCTCCTCCCTCCTCCCTCCTCCCTTCTTTCGGGAGCGTTACAAAGAGGCCCTCCGAGGATCATTTCACGACAACAAAGGCGCCGACCCGATGAACAGACACCACGTCGGGGCTCTGGGAAGGGAGTCGAAGACGAAACCTCGAATAACTTAGTCTTCGATGTTTGGGTTTTTTGTCTGACCACCTGCGAGCCTTGTGGAACCTTCCGAGAGCCTCAGGGGGGGAAATCTGGCGCAAGAATACGAGTGGAGCAGGAGACAGCACGACGCTTGGTTTCTACCCCCGTGAGGGGCGCTACAGGGTAGTAGTAGTAGTAGTAGTAGTAGTAGTAGTAGGGCTGACCGGGGGATGGTGGCCGGGCAGTTCGTCCGTGAGACAACTTAAAAGTGGTGATGGAGGTTTCGCGTTTCCAACGGCTTTAACAAACCAAAAAAAACATTGTGGGTGTGGGTGTGGGTGTGGGTGTCGGTGTGGGTGTGGGTGTTTCATGTATGATGTATGATGATGTATGATGATGTATGGTGTTGGATGATGACGTATGATGTTGTCCGATGATGTATGATGATGCATGTTGATGAATGATGTATGTTTTATGATGTATGATGATGTATTATGATGTATGATGATGTATGATGATTGATGTATGGTGTTTTATCATGTAAGATGTACGGTGATTAATGGTGTAAGATGTTTGCTGTTTGATGTTTGATGTTGAATGATGCTTGATGCTTGACGTTTGATGTTTGATGTTAAATGTTGCTGACTGGTGTTTGGTGTTTGATGTATGATGTTTAATGATGTGTGGTGTTTGATGTGTTTGGTGTTTGGTGATGTATGATCTATGTTTGATGATGTCTGATGTGTGATGTTTGATGTATGTTGATGTTTGATGGTGTTTGATGTCGTATGTTTAACGATGTTTGGTGTTTGGTGTGCGATGTTTGATGTTTGATGCTTGATGATGGTGTTTGACGTTTCATGTTCGATGTTTGTCTATGTATGATGTGTGGTGTTTGATGTTCGATGATTTATGATGCTTGGTGGTTTCTGATGTATGGTGTTTGATGTTTGATGTTTGATGATGTCTGATGTTTGATGGTGTATGATGTATGACGTTTGGTGATGTATGATGTTTGCTGCATGTTATATGATGTTTGGTAATGTGCGATATATTACGATGCGTGGCGTTTGATGGTGTATGATGGTGTATGATGTACGGTTTTTGATGGTCTAGTATGATGTATGGTGTTTGATGATGTGTTTTGATGTATTGTGTTTGATGGTGTATCATGATGTATGGTGTGTGGTGTACGATAATGTATGATGATGTATTGTGATGTATGGTGTTTGATGGTGTATTATGATACATGGTGCATGATGTTTGATGATGTGTGATGTTGTGTGATGGATGATGTTTGATGCTGTATGATGTTTGATTACGTATGATGTTTGATGGTGTATGATGTTTGATGATGTATGATGGTTGATCATGGTTGGTGTATGTACAATGTTGTAGGACGCATGATGATGTATGGTGTATGTATAATGTTGTATGATGCATGATGGTAGGGTGTATACATAATGTTGTATGATGCATGATGATGTATGGTGCAGGTATATTGTTGTACGGTGCATGGTGATGCATGGTGTATGTGTCATGTTGTATGGTGAATGTTGGTGTATGGTGTATGTACCACGTAGTATGATGCATGATAATATATGATGTACGGAGCATGTTGTATGATGTATGATGGTGCATGTTGTATGTATCATGGCGTATGCTTGCTACTACTACTACTACTACTACTACTACCACTACTACTACTACTACTACCACTACTACTACTATTACGACTGCTACTACTACTACTATTACTACTACGACTACTACTACTACGACTACTACTACGACTACGACTACGACTACGACTACGACTACGACTACGACTACTACGACTACGACTACTACTACTACTACTACTACTACTACTACTACTACTACTACTACTACTACTACTACTACTACTACTACTAACTACTACTACTTACTACTACTACTACTACTACTACTACTACTACTACTACTACTACTACTACTACTACTACTACTACTACTACTACTACTACTTACTACTACTACTTACTACTACTACTACTACTACTACTACTACTACTACTACTACTACTACTACTACTACTACTACTACTACTACTACTACTACTACTACTATAACTACCACTACTACTACTACTAAAAACTAACAACTACTACGACGACTACTACTACTACTACTACGACGAACTACTACTACTACTACTACTACTACTACTACTACTTCCTACTACTACTACCTACTACCTACTACCTACTACTACTACTACTACTACTACTACTACTACTACTACTACTACTACTACTACTACTACTACTACTACTACTACTACTACCCCCAAGGAGGCCCAAGAGGCCTCCCAGGAGGCACAAGAAGCCTCTTAGGAAGCTCAAGAGGCCTCTCAGGAGGCCCAAGAGGCACCCCAGGAGGCCCAAGAGGTTTTCCAGAAGGCCCAAGGGGCCTCCCAGGAGGCCCAAGAGGCCTCCCCAGGAGGCCCCCCAGGAGCCCCAAGAGGCCTCTCAGGCGGCACAAGAGGCCTCTGAGGAGGCCCCAGGGGCCTCTCAGGAGGCCCAAGAGGCCCCTCAGGAGGCCCAACATGTCTCTCAGGAAGCCCAAGGGGATTCCCAGGAGGCCCAACGAGGCCTCAGGAAGCCAAAGATGTCTCCCAGG